TGTGTGTGTGTTAGGAAAGAATGCAGAAACACAACGCTCAATGTTTTCAATCCTGGCCAGCTGACAGTCAGCATAAATCACTGCATACAATCAGAAGGAGAAAGGATGAGAGTGATTCAGTAGAGGGGGGTGAAGAGATGTTAGTGCTCTCTTTAGCTCATCAACCCCCCTTCAGCGAAATAATTTGTCTTGGGTAAATGCTCTCGTCTCCATGGCTACTCCTGTGCGTCCTGTAGAACACAGAGAGGGGCTAAAGGGCCGCTGTTAATGGAGGTTACGTCATCCCATTTGAACCCAGGCGCATGTTAATTGTATTTCATTCAAACAGGCCCCTCAGCTCATCTCACAGAGCTACCTCAGTGTGTGGAACATGACGGACAGGCAGCACACAATACTAGTGAGGTTCTACAATCCTATAAAAGCTACAAAACCAAGGGAAACGGTAAGGGAGGTTTTAAGGAGACACATTCTCTTGGAATGGCCTTAAGGATGAGCGGGACGGTTGCATAAGCTACTTCAGCCGTACGTCCCACATGCAGCCTTGAAGCAAACTCACTGATATAATGGGAATGGAGAGATGAAAAGAGAAGAGCAGCGAATGTCCTATCATTTTAATAACTCGCAGGAGGGAGGGGAAACTGAAGTTGACAGAGGGTTCTAGAGGGATTAGAGGCAAAAGTTTAAACCATGCTGATGTTTGTACCGTTTACTGTATAAACTGTGAGAAGCCGACCATTAGGTGCATAAACAAAGTAGCAGTAAATGTGTGGATTAATGGATTGATCATAAACAATATTGACCCGATAATCTCTGATCTTAAAGCTATTTATTTACTTATTTGCTGGTGAGGGAATATCCATGAACTGAAAACAGACCCACTTGCTATGAGGCACGTCATAATTAATCCATTCCTTCTTCGCATCAGGACACTATCCATCAGTCTGTCAGATTTCTCATTTCTGCTTGCCTGTCACGTTTTACCCTTGACTCCGCTGGGATAAACAATCCAAGGCACTGGTTCAGAAATAGCCGCAGAATCTGTCTAATCTGCCTCGACAAGCCCACCCGTGAATGGCCCAATTACATAACCTGATGTTGACTCCAGGGGAGGAGAGAGCGCTGCATATGGCCGGGAGTAAGTGTGACCAATCACACACACACAAAAGCAGAGTCAACTAATTGGTGATGTTGTTGGAGGAGATTTCGGCTGTTTGTTAAACTCGTTCTGAGGGATTTATATTGAGCATCTGTGCTGTGACATAATCACACAAACACACAAAGATAATACCGCTGGTAGATTTAATCCGTCACTTGTTGGGTTTTTAAGAGATAAAAAAAAAGGTACTCAGAAACAAAGTCTGATAGAGCATTCTCAGTTTCAGAGACACAGAGTGCAGGCTTTCCTGTGTTCATCATCACCACCATCTATCAGCAAAGTATTAATCCTCTACTTGACACCAACACTGCATTGGTAAAAACTCATTTACAAGTTTATGTCCTGCATTCAAAATCCTATTGAAGAAAGATGAATGAATTGGTCAAAATGCTATCCAGTTCTCACCTCCTGTTGCTGATGTATTACCCTGATATTATTAGATTGTCAAACTAGTGTGTTGGAAGCACCTTACTGTTGAGTTTATTGTGTGAGATGGGTCTCACACACATGCGTTTGAAAATCCATGGATGATTGGATTGGTAAAAACTAGGGCCGGGACTTTAACGCGTTAATTAAGATTAATTAATTACACAAAAATTAACGCGTTAAAAAAATTAACGCATTTTAATCGCACTTATTTTTGCACCGTGGAACGTTTCTCACTGGATGAGTTTCAGGCGTACCGATTATACTGGAGCACCAACTAACGTTCATGACTTCAGACAACAACAAACCACAGTGAACAACAGTGGGAAATGTTGTTTTAAAAAACGGACGGATGGAAGCGTCGATAAGAGCACGGTTGTGTGCAAATTATGCAAAAAGGAATTCGCATATCACCGCAGCACATCAAGCCTCAAGTATCACCTCAATGCAAAACATATAGCAGCTAGCGTGGAAGCTAGCGTGGACGTTAGCCTCTTTTATCGCGTTCACACCAAAAAGAGCCGGTACTAAAATTAGTTCATGAGAACCTTTTACCCCCACGAAAGTCCCTGCTAGAGAGCAGAGAGCTGCTAGAGAGCAGGGACTTTCGTACGGCTCTCTTGTGAGAAAAGAGCTATATTTCTGATTGGCTGGGCGGATTGCAAACCACGCCCCGTAAAACTCCCAACAAGTTTTGTGAAGCCGCCATTTTATTATCCTCGCATTAGCATTATTAGCATTAGCCCAGCGCAGAAACGCAGAGAGACTAACTTATGGCAACACAAAATAAAACATGGGAGCGGTGGAGATGAGGAGGTGTCGGCGTTTTGGCGATTTACTCGGAAGGCTTCAGTAGAAGCTGCTGGGACTCCCAGCAGCTTCTACTGAAGCCAGTCCCCAACTCCGGGGACTTCCGGCCGGGGACTTTGGGCGGCAGTATACGCCGTGAAGTGGTTTGCGGCCTGCCAGTAAACCCAAAGCAGAAGAAGAATAAGTGACGTCAGCGGCTTCATTTGCCTAATCCACCCCCAGGTTCAAAGAGTTCTCATGAACTAAGTTCTCATGAACCTTTGTGGGAAAAGTACTGCGGTGTGAATGCGCCTAATGGTATACTAAAATCCATGTGAAAAAAAATTGCTTCTCACTGTTCTTAGGTCAAATATACTTGTGTATATATGCGATTAAAAATGCGATTAATTTCGATTAATTAATTACAAAGCCTCTAATTAATTAGATTAATTTTTTTAATCGAGTCCCGGCCCTAGTAAAAACATGTAAACAGGATGAATGGCAAATAACCTTAAATGTCATTCTTGCAAATAACAAAGAAAATATGTCTTTGCCCACTTATTTTGAAGAGAGGATGAAAGAAGGAGACAGACCCCAGAATGAAGGAGATCATTAAATCCACTGTCTGGTTTAGAACAAATAAATAAAGTTTGCAAAGTAGCATTGAGGGACAGTACGACACGGAGTACACTGGCTTATCTGATAGCGGTCATGCTTTGTTTACATAGCCTTATCACTCAGGCCAGAGGACAGGATGAGTTGGAACTCAATCAATAAGAGATCAAAGTCCAAGTCCATATTATGTATACGTAGTTTGCGTAATCTGAAAGCGCACGTGTCGTGTTGACTTTATATAAAGCTTGTCAACAAGATATGTGCATGAAAGGACACAACTCAGCGTGTTTGTTTGTGACACTTTATGCTCCCCCAGCTATCTGTCAGACACTTTCTGTCGCTTATGATTAGCCTGAAAAGCAATTATATAATAAATAAATAAATGTTTTTCAGCCTCTGTATAATCCACTGTAGTTTGTGACCAGCATGTCTCTCAGTGAGGTGATGCAGCAGTGGCCGTAATCTGTCATAAGGGGCCTTAGTTACCGTGGTGCAGCCTATCGCAGTTATGTAAGGAGATTAACAGTCTGCCTGACATAGCACCGCGCTTCACACCGTTACAATGATGAGGTTTGTTGGAGCTGCTGTCACCTGTGTGTGTGTCACTGGGGACTAGGAGGTATTATATTTCACAATCGCATTAGGCATAGGCAATCAATGCACTTAATTCAGGCTCATTAATCACAGCTGTCTCGATTGATGATAGAATCTGGCCACTTGTTTCAGGTCACAGCCTGCCTCCATCTCCATTTTCTCTGCGGACCAAATTCTTGTGCGTGTCAGCATGGCCTGGGGACAAACTAACATATGTACATGCTCAGAGCACAGAGTGTACCATCACACAGTCACTGCATACACAAACACTATTGATCTCTCAGAGTAAACACAGCAACAGCAAGTGCAGCACGAGTCAGTCTTTGCACTTATTGGAAGATCAGCTGGGAAAGGGCTAGGGTAATAAAGGGAATAAGATAACAATATGGTTGGTATACTGCAGTTTTTGGAGATGTGAAATATCTACGGAACGTGTACAAATACCCAGGCCGTTTATTGAAAATATACAAATCTTTGACTGCAACGATGTAGGTATGAGAGGCACACAGAGGGATCACTGCGCACAGAGGCAGTCGCAATTTTTACAGGCTCCCACTACCTATTAGCATCTGGCATCTGTTAGCATCTAGCTCTCCTGCTTACAAACATTTAGCCATCCCTGCTTGTACAACATCTTGATGCAGTTTGGCATTGGTGCATGGGACAGTAATTGCCCTAAACCTTTCACACTCAAGAATGTCATCTAAACACCCTGAGGATGATGTTCTACTTCAAAGAGCAAATAAACAGATAACAGACCTTAAGGAGGATATCTGACGGCTTTCTGACAAGCTGAAAGAAAAAGAGTCTCTCGTGTCCGGTCTCATGGAGGTAGCATCGGTGCAGTCTAAACAGCTTGCCTCGTTCAGTGCAACTACCCATGACACAGTTCTGTGGGATCCTTCCACCTGTCCGCGGCCTTCCGACTGCTCGACACCTGGCCACCAGCAGTCGTGGTCTGAAGTGGTGCGCAAGAGCTTTTTGAATGGGGTAACTTCACCGCCTCGCTTGGGCCTTCGGAACCGCGTCGCGGCCTTGTCCGAAAATCCGGTCCATCCAGTTGATGCCCCCGCGGCACTGACCCGTCCAGATGATCCGGCCCGTCCAGCTGGTGCTCCGGCGGTGCTGGCCCGTCCAGCTGATGCTGAAAAGTCGTTTTTTTATCTCAGGTCCGA